TCAAATGCAATTCGCATTTTTTCTGATGCTAAATTCAGCATTCAATATTCCCCCCTCCCCCATTTTCCCCGTCCTGTAAATTAATTTTATTGCGAAAAATAATATTATCACAGCCCCAGTGGTCGAGCTGGCTAAGACGCCCGTCACGGATTGAGGGAGTTTCCAGGTTCGAATCCTGGCTAGGATAATATTTTTCGCAATAAAATTAATTTACAGGACAGGGAAAAGGGGGGGGAGGGGGCAATATTGAATGCTGAATTTAGCATCAGAAAAAATGCGAATTGCATTTGAAAAATAATTATTATCAAATCGAATACGTGAATCTGCTGACGATAATAATTCCACGTGTAAGACAAACTGTGTTATGTCCGAGAAAAAGAATTCGGCGCGTAGAACTAATGTGGAAAGAAACGTATAGATTCACGATTTTCAGAAAGATTTTAAGATGTACAAGTTGAGCTACCTACATCTTGCCTTGTGACCCGCATTAGGCATGTTCTCATATATTGTGTTGTCTTTAATGTTAAAATTTCTAAAGCATTAAGATTTTTAAAATAATGTGATGGATTTCTTCATACCATATCGAAAAATCACTATTTTTGACACTTCTAATCTACAAAACTTTTAAGTCTGGACGCTTTTAATTTTATATGTTTTTGAGATACTTTCACTTTTATGTTTCAAAATTTATATAAATAATATCAATTATGTTAAAACTTATAACAATTATTTAACTATTATGTAATGTTAAATAACTATTATTTCACTGCTAAATAAAAAACTTCTAATAATTATTAAAACTTATACTGTATATGTACCCAAAAATAAAAGTTTTAATAATTATTGTAAGTTACATAACCGTTAAAGAATAGTTACTAAAAATTACATAATAGTTAAATAATTATTATTACAAACACATAATTTTAAAAATCTTAATAAACATACAAATAATTATTATAATTCATTCTGATCTGAAGAGTGATATAAAAATTATTTAAAAATAACATTTCAAAAATTTTAATTTTAAAGACAAATATCTCAGTAAAAAGCACTATAAAAAATTGTATAGGAACTCTTGTGGGGCTACTTTTACTTACTCTACATATCCAGATTGCCAGCTTTTACCGGACCACCCTGTATATGTAATTACATATATGTATGTGTAAGCCAAAGATATATATATATATAGCTTAGTACTTAATTATTTCATACTTAAAAAGAGAAAGAAATATAAAACTATTTTTAAATTATTTAACAATTAACTTTTTCAGTATTAACGAAAACAAAAGAAAAATAGCACTGATAAAACACAAAATTGATTATGTTTTAACGCAAAATATAAATATGCACGACATAAATTCTAAATTACTAATCATTTTTCACATTTATTTGATAACATTTAATTTTTCTGATTGATTAACAAATCCATAAAATAGAAATGCATTCTATAATATCATTAATAATAGTAATATAATGAGAGAGAGAGAGAGGGGGGGGAGGAAAACGCTTATGTTTTCGTAATATATTTCATAATATGACCAAAAGTGTTTTTCGCGTTTGAACATTTTCCTAAAATTAATGGGGCCAATAATTGAGCGCGTTACAACGGCCGCGGGTGAGTTTCATAAATATGCATAACCATAATGAAGGCCACTTGAGCGGAATGCATATGCATTAATGCATAGACATTAGTATATGTACCATATATGGGAGTGTTAATATTGCGAGGATAATTCTCCGCTGAAAGGTATAATACTAATGGGCTTTTGCCTGTTTTGACTTTCATTGGATAATGCACGATACCTGAGTATTATTAATATTTACACAAAACTTAATACAAAAAGAAACAGCAATGTTAATCAGCAAAGAATTCATTCACAGTTTTGTAGAAAATAACTCACATTGTATTATTACTATTATGTAAAAAATTAACAGAGATATTTATCGATTTTACTATTAAAGTTTTTTTAAGTAAAAAAACAAAAACAAATCTCTAATTAAAAAAAACTTTAAATCAAATAATACATGAACAATGATGGAAAACAGTTGAAAAGGGCGAGATAATAAAATAAAAATAACAAATTCTATAAAAAGAACTATCTGTATTATAAAAAAAATAATTTTCTAAAAATGTATACATACTACTGATTAATAAATATGAACCAATAGGTTTCTTAGAATATACTTCAAAAAATTTTTTAGAAATAAGCATGAAATGAATAAACAGGTTTTATCAAAATTCTAAAGGCCCTTGATTCGGAAAATAATGGTGATGGTTACTGGTAATGATTTGATATCAGATATACATGTTTAATAAATTTCACGATTGATTCAATCTTACCACCACCATTACTGGGCTTTGAGATGTCTAGGGCCTGGATATCCATTTGATGCTGTAGCATCGTTGTAACCGATGAAGTAGTAGTAGCCGTTCCTGCACAACACAAAAACCAAGCATAGACGTTTCCATGCGTTTTCTATATATAATCTGAGCATATACATTAATTAAACAATTTGGACATTCTGATAACTTTGGCAACGTGATGTAAGATATTTTTTGAAAATATTCTAAATGCCAGAAATAATGACAAAAACTACATATATGTCGTTCTATGATATTTTTTGCAGTTATCGAAACAAATAAAACATCAGTAAACACAGTTTGTAACAGCTACATATACATTATGTAACTGATACATCTATGTCACATCTAAGTTATGTAAATGCTACATTTGTGCTTACTAAATAGTGATATATGCAAATATTGAAGTCAAAATGTTACACTCGCGTGCGCACACACAAGCATACGCACATGCACACGAACTCACACACTTGCGTTTGTTTACTAACTCGCCCACTCACTCGCTTATACACGTACAAACACGCGCGCGCGCGCGCGCGCGCGCACACACACACACACACACACACACACACACATACACACAAAGCGTCATTAATTAAAATCAATATAACTTTTATATATTATGCATTAGTAAAAGTTAAATTAGATTAAATTAATTATATTTTAAAAGCATGTATTAGACCAAACAAAATTGGTGGAATACATATTATCGGGTCTTGACAATCTATAAAAAGAAATCAGTAAGACAATCTTTGCACGATATTTTTCCATCTTGGTATCAATATTGGTAGTTAAATTATTTTTTTAATTATATTGTAAGTAAAATTTCACGTGCAAATAGGAAAATATATGTATAAATTGAATTGGTAGGACGCCCGTCTAGTGAGCAGGAAGGTCCAGATTCAAACCCTCACTGAGAAAGAGTCCAGAACTTTCATCGAAAAAATCCGTTCTAGTACTTTATCTGTTAGATTTTGGTCGTATTTGAGACTATCCGATAAAATAATAGCCACCTTTATCCGGCGAAATGTAATTTTCGATAAAATGTTAATGAAAAATAAGCTAACATTTATCTCTCCATTCAAATCTGATGGTATTAATATACAATTCCTAGTCGGACATTGCATTTGGTAGGATAAAAACAGAGTATTTTGTCCGATCGAGCTTACTATCCGATTGTGTTTTATATCCGGTGTAATGTACAATATGAATCAGTAAAAATCTGGATTTTTTTCTCAGTGCTGGCTGAGGTAATATTTTTCACAATAAACTCTTATAATAAAAAATATTTAGACACTAACTTCCCATCATAGCCTTAATTCCTTCAAATTTGTGTTTATCACATATAAGCCTTAAGAATTTTATGAATTTTGTTAAAATATACATATAAGAAAATATATAAAATATACTATTGTGCTAGAAGAAAAACAACATACAAAAACTTCTATTTTATATAATAAAAAATTTTACAAAAAGTAATAAAGGTAATAAAAATGTAAGAAAATTAATAAACGACACAACTGTCAAATTTTAATTAGAGATATTTATAGCGAAAAATATGCCCTCAGCTAGGGTTTGAACCTGGACCTCCTATACTCTAGACGGGCGTTTCACCAATTTGACCACTGAGGCATGTGATCATAGACATAGTATACAGGGTGTCGGATTCGATTTGGACCACTCCAAAGATTATAGTAGATTGGGTCAAA